GGATGTAAGTGTGCTAATAAAGCAATGAGTAAAATGCCATATAAAACTAAATGGAAAGAAGGAAATTATTTGGGGGTTTTGAGGCATGAGTAGAAGTGCTGAGGGCTTAATTTGCTTCATCCATTTGCTATCATTTTTCTTTTTAAGTATCAGGTTAATTATATTCATTATCTTCTGCCCCAAAAGTCTAACTTAAAAAAAAATGAGAAAAATTTTTTTCTTACAGTAAATTTTTAAAATGCCCAATAAAATATTTTAGACCTAAAAGTAAAGAAAATATTTCCCTTTGGATTGTGACTTATATTTACTGGCACAGGGTGGGAAGGACATGAAAAAGCACCTGAATAAATGCAGGCACTGTGTAATCTATTTAGGTGGTGAGAGAATGGGCATGACACTGGGGTGAACAATTCAAAGCACAGGGAGGAAATGCATTCATGCATACTGTTCAGCGAAGGAATGATTACTCTTTCATGACCCTCAAGTTGAAAAACAAATTTGAAACAGTTATCATAAACACCCACTCTCAAATATTGAGTTTCTATAGGGTGCATTGTTTGTATCTTATTAATGGACAACTTTTCAAAAATTAAGTGGTTAAATTGCATGTTATTTTCAAAAGAAAATGTTCATAAAGTGTTTTTGCTTGCTTGATATTGAAAGAGGAACATATTATCTAGATAAAAGTTAAGAGGTGTTTTTTTAAAAAAAAAAAACACATCTAAACAGTTTTTTAAAAATACATAATAGGTTTTAGAAAGCCCACAAACCACCATATCGAAGTCAGTATTTTATATGGCTGTGATTGTTATCTAGAGTATTTGGGCTTTACTTTTTCTCCACATTATAAAGTTACTAGGGCCCAGGGCACAAATTGGGCTGAGTGGCTGCTGTGGGCACAGGGGCAGACCCCAGACCTGTCTGCCAGAAGCCCAACTGCTGCTGTGGCTTCAGCCCTGCTCACACCTGGTGACAGCACTGAGCAATTGGGACCAGTGCCAGGCACCAGCAGCAGGTGTGAGTGGCGGCTCTGGCAACCAGCAGTGGGTGCAAGTGGTGTCGTCACCAGCAGTCGGTGTGAAAGGCAGCTACTAGCCCAATTGCCCCTCAGGAGCAAGGGGAGGTGGAGAAACCCTGAGAGGCAATTGGGGCCAGATGGCACTGAGCAATCAGGGTGTGCAGGAGCAAAGAATTTTCAGTAACCACCAGAGGCTCGCCTTAATGACAGCGACCAGCACCCTGCCTTGGTCTGATGCCCCCGCTCACTTGCTCCACAATCCTGCCACAGCCAATGTCCACAATGTTCCATGTTCTGCCGCCTGCTGCTTACACCCACCATGTTCCATGTGCGCCCCTGGAAGTCAGCACATGTCATAGCAACCAGTTGTTTGGTCGTTCGGTTGTTCCACCATTCAGTCTATTTGCATATTGGGGTTTTATATATATAGGTGACATATCTGAACTTGTAATTCATAGTGATTGATTTCATTTCTAAAATCAAGATGCTCCAAAATTATCTTATTTTTTGCCCTCATAGTTTTATATGCATTTATAAAATTATTTCAGGTAACATAAATAAATCACCCTAGATTATTTTAAATATGCCTTTCCTATCCAAAATTGGCAGATTGTTACCATATCAAATTAGTTAGTTGCTGATATAACTTCTGTATTTAATCAAAGATGCCTAACATGTCACCATGATATGTAGTTATAGTGGCTCTTAAAAGTCAGCATTTATCTTTCACCAGCTCTTTCGATATAGAGAAGATATTAATAACCAAAAGAAAAAAGTCAGTTGATAAGTCACATTTAACCAGCACTAGTGATTATTTAATAGAATGACATAAACTTGAAGTGAACACCATTTTATTTATAGCTTATTTTATAACAGCATTTTATTAAGGAATAATTTACATATAGTACAACCACAAATCTTAAAATATTTAGAGTTTGAGGAATGTTGACAAATGTATGCAAGTATAGATAGCATGATCCAGATCAAAATACAAAACATTTCAACCTAGAAAATTCCTTCATATCCCTTTTCCGGGTCATTCGAATCCCTTCTCCTTATGCAGAGCAGCGGTCGTTCTGATTCAGGATAGCCTAGTTTTGCCTATAATTGACCTTCACATAAAAATAATTATATAGTATATTCTGATTTTTCTCAGCATAATGCTTTTCAAATTCATCTAGGTTTTTGCATGCATCAACAGGCCATTCTTTTTTAACAGTGTACTCTGTCAGATTATCCATTCTCCTGGGGATGAAATTTGATTTTCTATAGTTTGGTGCTGTTATGAATAAAGCTGCTAAGAACATTCATTTTTCTTGAGTATATATCTAAGAATGAAACTGCTCAAGCATAAGATAGGAATGTATTTAACTATACTAGAAGTGGCCAAATGGTCCCCAAGTGGTTGTACCATTTACATTCCTACCCACAATATTGAAAAATTCCAGTTACTCCATGTTCTCATTACGGTTGGTATTTCAGGGTTGTTTGTTTGTTTGTTTGTTTTTAGCCAGTTAGCTGTTGTTTTTGTAATTTTAGTCATTCAGTAGTATCTTCCTGTGGTTTTTACATTTCTTTGATAAGTGAGGTTGTGAGCCTTTCTATATACTGATTGGCCTTTTGTATGTTTTCCTCTAGGAAGTGTCCAACTCTTTTGCTCCTTAACTGGCTTGTCTTTAATACTGATACCCAGTTCTTTACATATTCTGCGTAAGAGTCCTCTGGAAGATGTGTTTTTTGAATATTTTATCCCAATTTTTGACTTTTTCACATTCTCACTGAAGATTTCTTATGAGCTTTTAATTTTGATGAAGTCCAATTTATTTATTTTTCTATTTTAGTGAGTGCTTTTTATGTCCTATTTGAAATTTGTTTTTTGTGTGGGGTTTTTTTTTTTTTCAGATTGTAAAGATTTTCTCCCAAAATTTTTTATTTCACCAGTTACATTTAGATTCTTTTTTTGTGTGTGTGTTTTTTTTTAATATGTTGGAGGTCAAGGTTCATTTTTCCCCCTCATATTTTCCCCAGTTATTCCAACACCATTTGTTGAAACGACTATCCTTTTCCTCTTAAATGCATTGGCACCTTTGTCACAAGTCAACTGACTCTAGATAGTTCTCTTCCTGGTTTGTCTATCTGTCCCATTAATATATGTGTCTAAATTTATGCTAAGGTCATATGCTTCACTATTGAAGACTAGTGACAAGTCTTGATTCAGTTAGTATATGTCTTCCAACTTCATTATGTTTTTCAAAATTGTTTTTGGCATTTCCACACAAAATTTGAATCAGCTTGTCAATTTCTATGCCAAAAAAGCCTTCTAGGATTTTAAACTTGGATTGCATTGAATCAATAGATCATGCTGGGGAAACAAATTAGACACTTATTTTCTCCTGTATAGCTGGACAGTCCAGATAGATTCCTCTACTGCATAGTTCAGAACCCAGGCTCCTTTGTCTTTCCACTCAACTACCTATCCCTGGGTTGGCTCCTTGTTGACACAATGAAGCTAGTGTGTTACCTCAGGGATCCATTCTGCAACTCAGGAAAAAGGAAGAGGAGGACAAAGCGTGTATGGCAGCTGAGTCTTTCATCTTTAAAGCATCTTTTCTTTAAGCCCCACCAAACACTACATACTCATCTCTCACTGCTGTGAACTGTCTTATAGAGTCGTTTCTATCTGCAAAGGAATCTTGGAAAATGTAGTTTTTGAGTAGAACCCCTAAAAATTAATGTTCTGTCAGTAAAGAACAGGAGAAAGTATGTAGTGGGTAGGAAGTAGATATCTGCATAAGTAATCACGTTTCTAGAGATCAACCAAAGAACTTGTATGCATATATTCATAACCCATGGACACTGACAATAGTGTGGGGAAGGCCTGGGATGGGGGGGAAGGGTTGGGTTAGAAGGGGTCAATGGGGGAGGGGGAAGGGGTTATATGAATACTTTCAACAATAAAGATTTGTTTTTTTTAAAGTTTCTTCTGTAAAACTGCTAATTTTTGAGTTTAGAATGCTGAAGAAGGAACAGGTAGAGTTCATAAATGATTTACTAGATGGCTTCTAGCTCTGAAATATGTTATAACAGAAATTTTAAAAATTGTAGACCATGATGTTTTGATGTTTACAAAATAAAATGAGTACATTCAACTTACTAGCATTCAGAAAATGGCATTTCTTTATAAATAAAAGCCGAAACTGTTACCTGAATTCCATTTCTTCTACAAAGTAAAAATAGTCATAAGACAAGAAAAATAGCTAATTTAAATAAAACATGTATCTTAATGATGCCTTAACAGATGTGGATTTCCTGTTCGACTGAAATATATACTTGTTTTCCAACCAGTTCAAGAATGGACAAAAGATTCTGAGTAAGAAATTAATGTACATGGAGATCAAAAGTGTGAAAATAAGATTTTCCTACCTCGGGCTGGCTAGGTAAGGGAAGTGGGAAGAGAAATAATGATTTTATTGACCAAGTCAGGGATATTTGGTGTAAGAGTGATGCAAAGATGACAGAACTCATTGACACTGTGGCTCCTGGACAAAATGACTGTGAAAAAATTAACTTTATAGATATAATAATCTATAAACTTTCCACTTTCTAGATATAATAATCTATAAACTTTCCACTTTCTTGTTAATTTGTATAAAATTTGTCAGAGAGATACTATATTTTCATTGACCTTTATGAAAATATTTATTGTTAAAATTTTTTTACATTATACTTGAAAGAGACTATATTTATTACGATAGGCCCAGTGCACAAAATTCATGCACTGGTAGGGTCCCTAGTGGCTACTGACTGCCAGCCAGGGCCTCCCTACCTTACCCGTGGCCGGCCCCACTCTCTTGTCAAACTCCCAGACAACTCCCGGTTGAGGGGACAATTTGCATACCATGCTTTTATTATATAGAATGATTTACCTTAAAAGGTATAGAGAAGAAAGGATTGATATGGTCATCTACTATACTCCTATACATCAGGTTTCTCTATTAGCCCACAGGTCAGATTCTGGTTGTTTCCATTCTTCTCCCAGCAGTGTGTTAAAATTGAAAGGCTTGAAGTATTCCAGACGGTGGCTAAATGCAAAGAAAAAGAAGGTGGGAATTGAAATGAATTATGCATTTGAGAAATAGGTGACTTGAAAGGCTATTCATTCTGTCACATCTGTGATAGGACAACATTCTATTTTAAGAACACCAAAGGTAAGATATATTCTCTATGTATAATTTTCTCACTCTAGCTCTCAAACATTAAGCTCTGAAAACATTCACCCACATCCCAAAGCACTTAAAATCTACCCTCAAAACCTGACTCATTCCATCTAGCCTTAAATCATATTGTATTTTTACAGATGTTTTTACATTTAAACTTTGATATACTTTATATCAGTTATATGAACTACTATTTTAAAAATTTCAACTCCATAGATAAGAGGATAGACTGCTTTGCCCAAGCAAAGAAGGTTGAAAGAGTGTTAATCCTAGCTCTTTTATTCCTGGGAACATTGTTTAACTACCACAGAGATTTCTATTGTGGTTTAATTGGGAGAGAAAGGTTTAGCTAACATGCTGCAGTAGAATTCAGCTCTTCAGCAGATCACTCTGCCTTGGCTGGGCCCTGGCCAATGGTATAGTCACACTTTTACCTAGAGAGCCTCCAACAACAAATACGTTGAGGAGTCAAACATATTATATCACTAAGGAGCTAAAATATAAGAAGATATTTATTAGCTGGTGAAGAACCAGAGAAACAAGCCATCTTGATATGAGGGCCCTAAGTCACTTACATCTAGATTCTGGGCCCATTCTGCTTACCTGAACCAGTTTGAATCTCAACTGTCATTTCCAGATGAAGAGGTTCAGGAACCAACAGTGAAGGTTAAGGGAAAAGGAGGGAGGCTAGTTAGGAAAGGTCAGGACTGGGGAGAAAAGCAGAGGAAAGAGGAAAAAGTGTATCAGGCAGGAAAAAAAAAAAGGAATAGGCTAGAAGAGATGAAAGAAAAGTGAAAAAAGAGTATGATAGGAAGGAGAAGGTAAACAGGGAGAGGAGCGATAGCATTTTTCAGAGGTAAAAATGGCAGGAGACTCAGTCCACCATGGTGCAGAGTCCACTAGAGTTAGATATCAATAAAGGGAGGGAGCAAAAGAATCAGACATTATCTATATAACTAGAGGCCCTTTGCAGGAAGATTCCTGCAATAGGGCTTCCTGCTGCGATCACTGCCCCGCCTGCTTCCCTCCCTTCTCCTCTGCCCCAGCTTCGCTCCCTTCTGCAATGCTTGGCTTCTTTCTATGCTGTCTTCAGTCTTCGCTCTGGCCTGAATATGCAAATTAGCCGCCATCTTGTTTGGGTTAATTTGCATACTCAGCCTGATTGGCTGGTGGGCATAGCAAAGGTGTGGTCAATTTGCATAGGATAAAGAGGTAATATGCAAATTGGTCCTAATGGTGTCACAGTAATGACCAATTTGTGTATTGACAGACCAGCAGGAGGCTGTGCGTGCAGCAGGGGGACTTGTGTGAGGCTCACTTCTCTGTCACCAGTGCACTAAGCGAGTCTGTGAAGACAGGGACTGAACTTGACTGAACCAATGGCACAGAATTTATGGGCACTGGCCTTTGCTCTTGACTTGATGAAGACAAGGCTGGACTTCTTTCACAGCGGGACACAGCTGAATCCAACGCAGTCCTTTGATTTTGCTTCTACAATAAATCTTACCACTGCTTTTCATCCTCCCGTACACGGGTCTCCAAAATGCTTTCCTATCACTCTGTGAAAGGACCCCATTTCCACGAGGATGTCTCTGTTAATTCTTCTGCACACACACTAGCTAGACTGTCTTGGCCACACAGAGAGCTAGAGAGCAGAAACCCCAGCTTGCCCTAGGACAGAATCTGGCTTTCCTAAGGGAGTAGAGCTCACCGCAATCCATGAGGCATTCATATGGCTGGACAGGCACTATATTCTCCTTAGGTGACAGCTTCAAATTGGGCAAGTGTAGGAGACACCTGGGCTTACATGCCTTTAAATTGGGCAAGTGTAGGAGATACCTGGGCTTACATACCTGGTACCCACAGGGGCCAATATCTCTTGTAATAAGTCAACAGGCATAGCTTCTAGGGTCTCCACTGGGAATATGACTGTTATTCCAAAGCAATGCTGTCCCCATCAGGTATTTATAATTTATTCATAAAACTATCTGTCCAGATGCAATTTAGCAATTAGGAGTCATCTTTATTATTATGTTGCCTAGAAACCTAGTTGACATTTTTATCCTTATGAGGTTACCAAGGGAAGACAGCTAGAAAGTTAATTGAAGGTCATATTCTCAAGCAGCAAGGGAAATAATTTATTAACCCTTTGTTCACACCAAGAATTTGAATGTTTCTGTCCAGTTAGCTCTGAAAGAGATCATAAATGATTTTGTAACAATACTTCTATACCAGCTGTTGCAATATTCACTAAGCAAGATTTTTCTCATATTGCCATGGAAACTTCTATGCTATACTTACAGCAGTGAGAGAGATTAAGCATGTCCACAGTCTGTCAAGTGTTTACTGAGAACCATCAGGGAACACAGTACCCTACTAGGTGCTTGTACATATGTCTCCTTTGACCGAAAAATGTTATCGCTGGTCTACCAAAAATTAATTTCCAAAAAACTCTCACAGTTGGAACATATCTTCATTCATTTTCTACTTACAAATCAGGTTTTTGTCCTGGTTGCAGTTCATGCCGAGGTACAGGGTAAAGAGCTTCATAGATTCTTTTATCTTTTGATCCATGAATTGCAAATGAATTGAATTTTGTCACATTTGGTGGAAAATAACTCCAAGGAAGATAAGCTCTGCCTTCCCATTTTGTCTCTCCTTTGGACACTTCGAATGATAGAGCAAGTTCTTGCTACAGAAATGACATGTGAAATATACAAGGTAATTCAGATTTGTAAGTTAAACATATATATTAAAAATTATAATATATACACAGGTCTTCTACTTAAGAATTTTATCTCATATTTTTATTTACTTACTTTCCACACATTTCTTCTTCCAGATAATAAAAGCACCAAATGTTGTCCATGGCTATGGAAATTAAAATTCCTCATGAGTGTTTGAAAGAAACAAACATTATTTTCTTCACTATTCTTTATATCTGCAATGTGTGCATTTTAACTAAATTTCCAAATAATTAAAAGATGGCCCTAGCCAGTTTGGCTTAGTGGATAGTGTTGGCCTGTGGACTAAAAGGTCTCAGGTTCGATTCAGTCAAGGATGCATGCTCATGTTGTGGGCTTGGTCCCCAGAAGGGGGCGTGCAGGAGGCAGCCAATCAGTGATTATCATCATTGATGTTTCTATCTCTCTCCCCCTCTTCTTTCCTCTATGAAATCAATTTTATTTTATTTTTAAAGCTGCAAATTGAATACTGGATAATTATAGGAAGAGCCAGTATGTTCAGTTACTTAGAAATGCCATCATTTTCCAGATAATTATAGTCAAAAGTTACACGTGTTCAGATTGTTTTTTGTATTTTTTAAATATAAAATTATATAAAAGATTTCAGTTAGAAGATGAAAACTCAGCAAAGGGATGAGGGATATTATAATATTTGACATTTATAATAAAACTATTTTCAAAAACAAAAGTACCCTAAGAGAAGCTGGCACCAATTTCTAGATGAATCCAACAACTTTACTAAAGGTTATTTCTATAAGAAAACTGTCTTGAAGCTCATTAGGAATAAAGAAAATATAAAATATAGATTGTTTAAAACTGTATCTGTCTGCCTCTTGTGTTTTCCTGCTTTCTACCATTAGTACATACACCAATGTCACATTTTCAAAAAGAAACACAACATATCCTCAAAAGGAAATTCTAATAAAAGAGCATAATTGGAACTAGCTGGGTCAATAAGAATCAAAGATTTTCGAGTAGTTATATGAAAGAAATTTATTGTCTCTGGGAAAGACTATATCTAAACACTTCTATAAAGATAGTCTATTGTGAGCTTTTCAGGGAGAATTTCCTTCAGAAAATTATTCTAACACATGACAAGTATTCTTTCCTCTGCTTATTTTTATTGTTATGATGCAAGCTTAATAATATCCTAGGAGAAGTAAAAGTTCTTGTAAATGAAAACAACAATATTCTTCCCATTGTTTTCCTAGCAATTAATTGTCATAGCTATTGATTATCTGAAGCAAAACCTTGATTCTTGATTACTGACTGTCCTGATATATATATGAAACCAAACTACTTTAAGGATTTTTTAATTTTTAGAACTTATTAATTTTGTACATAATAGTTATTATGTAATTTCTTACCAAAAGAGAATCTAATTATCCTATTCATCCAGTGCTAAGTAATCTCTTTATGAAAATAAACTGGTATTCTTATCTAATAAAAGTAAAACCAAGGATGAAACTTTAGAATTCTAGTAGATCCAAGTTCTTTACTGTCTTGTAGACCAGTTACAAATCTATTTGCCTTAGCTTTCTCACTTGTATGATGAAAATAATTACACAATGGGCGAATATTTTTTTTCCTCATGTGACAGTTTATGACAATGATATGTTTCAATAAGATATTTTGGCATGTTAGTTGAAAAATAACATACAAAGATACAAGGTTATTCCTCTGAAAAATATAATTGGAAACAGCTACATTTTCCACATTAGAGTTAGCAAAAAATCAAATTAAGGGAAAAGAAAATCATATCTAAAATCTTATTTAAATTGATTGGAACTTTCTGCCCAGCCTACAAAGGGACAAAGGCTAATGGATATTAGATACTGAAAGATATTTAAATGCCATTTAAAATGATAATCACAATACAAAAAAATTCATTAATCTATACTTGTTATAATATAGATGAGAGGTGGGCACAAATTAACTTTTTCATAACTATAGAACAAATATTGTCAACCAGATAAAGAAGGTTTCCAAAGGAATGGTTAAATTTGAAAAAGAGAGTCTCAGGTTAACACTTTAAATGAACCTAGAAAAAACAATGTGTGATTTATCCCTGGCACTTCAAAGTGACATGGTACACACTTAATAAATAAATGAGGACTATTGTACATATGAGGAAAGACGGGGATGAATGGATAAGAAATCAACCAAAGAACTTGTATGCATGCACATGAGCATAACCAATGGACACAGACATAGGGCGGTGAGGGCTTGTGCTGGGGGTTGGGAGTTGGGGAGAAGTCAATGAAGGAAAAAGGAGACTCATTTAATTCTTTAAAGCATAAAGAATTTAAATTTTTTAAAAATGAGGATTAAATGAAGAAACACATTAATACATTATTAACAAATATATAAAATGAAAGTGTAATCTAGTTATTAAAAAAATTTCCTAAAAGAAACATTTTCATAAATTAATTTATCATATCTATATGTCTCCCTTTATTTCTGAGTAGCTAGGACATGATAACACCAATTTTTAGAATAAATAATGAGTTTGTTTTATAATAATATTTCGTTATGCAAAAGAATTATTTTCAAATATTTTAAAAAGACCAACTACATAGTAAAATGAAAATAACATCAAATACTATTTTCAAATATCTGTAATATATACAAGGTAAGCTTACAATTGTTTGTATGGGAAATAATACAATAATTAATAAATAATAATGTAAGAATAAACTCTGTTTTGCATACTCACAACTTTAAACCTACTTTTGCCAAACCTGTTTTAAACATATATTTTAAATTATACAGTTATTTGAAAATAAGAAATTATACATAGTTCAGATTGGCATTTGCCCTAGTTTGTTGAAATTAGTAAATTTTTATTATGACCACATGATTTATAACTAGAAAACAATGTGTCCAAGTTATATAATAATGAGTTAGAAAAAAATTTTTTTATACTTACGGGCAAAGTTCAACTTCTAAGTACTGTTCAGTTATGTCGTTCAAGAAAAATGCTTCTATAACTTTAAAAATAGATATATTGAGAATTTAATTATACTTCAACAATAAATTATTTATTTATTCCTTTAGAGTATAAAATAAATTAACTCATTATTTTTAATTATAGCTGTATCCTCAGTAGGCAAAGGAACAAATAAAATAAATAGACGTTGCTTAGAAATAAATCACCATCAAATTTTCCCATATCAGATTGCCATAAATTAAAAAGATAAATAAAGCCTAGTGCTGGTGATGTTGCAAAGAAATCAACATTATCATATAGACTTTAGGCCAGTTCTGTTTTTAAGGGAATTTATCCTAAGGAAATAATCAGACAACTAGAAAAATAAGTAAATATAATGCTAGTCATCAAAGTATTGCTCAAAAATTAGTTATCTAAACGATATCTCCTATTACATAGGATCATTGCCTATTATATAAATAAATCTTCTATTATATAGAAAAGCTACCATATAAATTATGGAATTTATGTATTCTATGGATGTAACCATTAAAATCAAAGACAGTTAAATATTTTTATATTAAAAGATATCCATGATATTTGACAAGTAGGCTACAGAGCAATAAGAAAATCAGCAAATAAGTAAAACTTTCAATGTATCAATAAGTGATGCTGCAAAGAGAATAAGGGGCCAGGTCATGAAAAATCGTGTATAGAAATATATTAAGAAGAGTAGAGCCAAAACCGCTTTGGCTCAGTGGTAGAGCATCAGCCTGCGGACTGAAAGGTCCCAGGTTCGATTCCGGTCAAGGGCATGTACATTGGTTGCAGGCACATCCCCAGTAGGGGGTGTGCAAGAGGCAGCTGGTCGATGTCTCTCTCATCGACGTTTCTAGCTCTCTATCTCTCTCCCTTCCTCTCTGTAAAAAATCAATAAAATATATGAAGAAGAAGAAGAAGAAGGAGGAGGAGGAGGAGGAGGAGGAGGAGGAGGAGGAGGAGGAAGAGGAGGAGGAGGAGAAGGAGAAGGAGAAGGAGGAGACGAGTAGTAGAACTTATGCCCCTTTTGTTCCCCTATTGATAGATCACTCTGGCTTTCAAGAGAGAGAGATAAACTTAAGGGCAAAAAGACTACTTAAAAGTCTCTGTCCTCTTTGAGGTAAAAGATCATGAAGGCCTAATGTATAGCAGAGATGATAGAAATGAAGAAGGGCTACTGAAATAGAGAAACATTTAGGAGGGGAAATTGGTAGGACTTAGTAGATAAATCCAAACATAGAGAGTGAGAGAGAATATCTTGGAAAAAATTCACATTTCTATATTCAGTGGTTTGATGTATTTGACTGCCATTGATTGAGACTTGGCAATTAGGGAAAGAGCAGGTTTATGAGAAAAGTGGATAAGTTGAGTTTGTGACTTGTTGAGTAGATAAGTCACACTGGTGTGTATACCAATGGTAAGCTGATATATTCAAGATCTGTATCAGTAATATACAACATATTGTTTTATAAATTAACTAGAGGCCCAGTGCATGAGATTTGTGCATGAAGGGGGGGAGGGGTAGTGGGGAAGGGTCCCCTCAACCCAGCCTACACCCTCTCCAATCCGGGACCCCTGTCTCCTAAATGCTCACCTGCCTGCTGGCCTGGTCACCCCCAACTGTCCCCCTCTGCCAGCCTGGTCACCCCAGCTGCTCCCCCGCCCCCATCAGCCTGGTCACCCTTACTGCCCCCCCTCTGTCAGCCTGGTTGCCCCTAACTGCCCCCCCCCCTTGCTGGCCTGGTCACCTCCAACTGCCCCCCTGCCTTTTTATACATTAGGATCTTGACAAAATGCACACCATACAGATAGTATAGAGAAAATAGATGTTAGTAGGGACTAGAAGAATCATCAAAGGTTTCTTCGGCCCTAGATGATATGGCTCAGTTGGTTGGAGTGTTGTCCTGTGCACTGGAAGGACAAGGGTTCAATTCCAGGCCAGGGCACATGCGTAGGCTGTGGGTTCAATTCCCCGTCAGGGTGCATTTGAGAGGCAACTGAACACTTAATGTCTTACATGGCTGTTTTTCTTATTCTTTTTCCCCAACTCTCTCTAAAATCAATTTTTTTTAAAAAGGTTTCTTTGAATAAATGGAACCTAATTTAGACCTTGAACTATGTTCATTAAAGGCAGGAGGAATAGAATGAGAAAAGGTAGATGGGTGAGAATGTGAATGGATAGTAACATGGATAGTAGCCTTTTAGAAATCAAAAGGTTTTGGTTGAATATGATAGCCCTATTCATGAGTCCCCAGAATGTTTATAAGAAGGATTTGAACTTTATCTCAGGGATAGAAATGGTTTGTGATCTGGGGAATGGCATCATAAAGAGTCTTTTAGAAAGATAAGTTTGGTAGCTTAATTAGGAGACATTAGACAGGGATCGTATAACAAACCTGAAAGTCTGATTTTTATGGCGTCTTTTAATCTTCAGTTGATATGTGAGATTACTTGTTAGTACATATAAAATAAAAACTACATTTCAGATTGAGGTTGATGATGTTTCTATAATAAGTAAAACACCCTCAAACTTCCATAAAGAAAGTTTATAAGGTTAAAGTGGCAATCTGAAGATAAAACAAGAATGCTGAACTCTTCTCAGACTAGGTAACAGAAGTAAAGGAAGGACATATGGCAGCAATTTAGAAGTCTGGGTTTGTAATTGCCATTTTTCACTGTTCTAGTTATAGGATTGAAGTCGCATAGGTAATGGTGAAAAAGTCAGCATGAGAGATTGGTAGGAAATATCACACACTGCATATGTCAGTTGCTCAGAAGCACTCACTTCCTTACAGCAAGATAAAATAATAGCTCTGTGAGAGGTTATTACAAAAAGATTTATGTTTGCAATAAAACACCGCACTGCCACTTACCTTCATAATCCCACAGTTCATTGAAAGGCTTTCCTGGTTCTCCAAGCGGGGCTGGAGGATCATTGAAAAATGGAGCACTAACTTTCAACATCACTCCTCCGTCACCTGGGTTCAGCCTGACAAACACTGGCTCATGAGTCACCGGAGAACCATCCCAAGTGTGTTCAATTTTAAAATCCATCTTTAGATTCTAAAGAGAAAAAAAAAAAAAACTCTTTAACAATACGGAAATGTTTTCTTTAGTCAGAAATGAAGTGAAAATTTCCAGTAAGCCAAGCAGGACGATAGCAGAGTGACGAGAAGACGGTTCTGAGAGTCCAAAGGCCATTTGTGTTATGACAAAATAATGGACACTGAGTTTTACCAAAAATAGGTAGTTGGACCCAAAAAGCTTTGAGACTTTAAGTTTAGATCCAAAATTGTTTTTTTACAACTATAAGCCCACAGCAGAAATTGTTCATATACTTAACAACTATCTCAAATATAAGCATTATGAGTTTTTATGCCATTCTTGTCATTTACTGTAAAATGTGCAGGTGTCTAAACTATTGGGTCCCTTGAGAACCAAGATCTTTAAAATAAAATTCAGTTTGATTAAAATATTCTATCAATCATCAGAAGCATTTCTGTTAACACCTATTATTTTGGTTAAAACCCTGTTGTTTTTTGTAGGGGGAGAGAGGGGAAGCGGTACTACAATTGTTTGAAAGTTAGTTCCTTGTTCTTAGAGTATAGATTTTTCTCAATCTATTTTTTAAAAATTTTAATGAGATTTTATTTATTTTTAAAGAGAGAGGAAGGAAGAGGAATAGGGAAACAGAAACATCCATAAGAGAAACATCATTGACTGACTGCCTCCTGCACATCCCCTACTGGGGATCGAGCCCTCACAGTGGGCATGTGCTCTGACTGGGAATTGAACCCGTGAACTCTTGTTCCTGGGTCAACACTCAACCTCTGAGCCCACTAATAGCTGGGCTTCTTAGTCTATTTCAACGTTTAAATGATGACATATTCTTTTTCCATTTCTCTAAGGGTGAAAAGAGATTAATCAAGCAATTTGGTCATTTAACACTTGAAATATCAAAAAGTGACACAAGCAGTATTTGCATTTTGTGTTATTTTCCCAAAGATTAAATTGAAGGACAGAGTATTATGTTAATAAAATTACAAATTATTGAAAATTATAAATTGGGCATTTTATAAACATTATCTGATTTAATTTCGCCAGAAACTAGCAGATGAGCTATTATTATCCTCAGTACAAAAGAAGAAACTGACTTGTTAAAGGTCACATAACGGGCAAATCAAGAAATTGAAACAATGCCAACCATGTTTACCCAGATGAAGCCATTTTAGGAATCTGGAGGGAGATGAAAGCCTTACTTTAGGGGTATTGAATTCTCTAAATTATACTAGATTCGTATGCCATGTTCAGAGGAGAATCTTGATTACTACTAAATGATGATATTCTCAAACTGTAATTTATATATCTGAAATCTTTGAAGGCATTTCCTTGTTTCATATGTTATTTTTACTGTAAGTAGTAAAGTACTAAATTCTGAATGCATTAATTGCATTGAATCTGTATGGAGTATTTCCTATGTGTCAAGCATTGTAAGATCCAACTATATAAGCTCTGTATCACATAAGGAATCCAATAGCTCTGAAAACCTTTTGCTAAAGTATGTAGTGCCCTGGCCAGGCTCAGTTGGTTGGAGCATCATCCCATACACCAAAAGGTTGCAGCTTCCATTTCCAGTCAGGGCGCATACCTAGGTTGCAGTTTCTACACCTGGTCAGGTGCATATGGTGGCAACTGATAGATGTTTCTTTCACATTAGTGTTCTATCTCTATCTCTATCTCTATCTCTATCTCTATCTCTATCTCTATCTCTATCTCTATCTCTATCTATCTCTTCCCCTTTCTCCCTTCCTCTCTCTCTAAAATCAATAAACATTGGAAGCATGAAACAAGAGTGTGGATTCTTCCAGGAAAGGCTGGGGAGGGTGGAGGGTGGGAGGTAATCATCCAATGACTTTGTATGCATATATGCATACCCATGAACACAGACAATAGGGTGCTGAAGGCCTAGGGCAGGGGCGTGGCGGGGGGGGGGGGGGGAAAGGCTGGAGGGAGTCAATGGGGATAACCTCTAAAATTAAAAAGTAGTTCTGGTACTACAACCCATTTCCAAGTGAAAGCATATTAGAAAAGGGTAAGTGCAACAATTTATCTATCTATTCTAATAAAAGAGAAATATGCTAATTAGACAAGGAGACCTTCTGGACAAAGCCATGGTGGCTGGGTGAGGCAGAGGTGGTTAGGGGAGATCAGGCCAGGAGGGGAGGGCAGTTGGGGGTGAGTAGGCTGGCGGGGAGGCGGGCATTTGGGGGCAAGCAGGCTAGCTGGGGGGGTGGTTGGGGAGGGGGGAATGTGGCAGTAGGGAACCAGCAGGCTAGTGGGAGGAGACAGTTGGGGGCGATCAGTCTGGTGGGGGGGGGCAGTTGGGGACGAGCAGGCTGGTAGGCAGAGTGGTTAGGGGAGATCAAGCAGGCAGGTGAGCAGTTAGGAGCCAGCAGTCCCAGATTGTGAGAGGGATATCCAACTGCCAGTTGTGCAATTGGGCCTAAACTGGCAGTCGGCTATCCCCCAAGGGGTCCCAGATTGGAGAGGGTGCAGGCCTGGCTCAGGGACACCTCCCCCTCTCTCCCCATGCACCAGGCCACTAGTATTGAACTAAGCTCAGTGCGTGATAAGAGTATAAATATAAATTGATCCTGATGTATGTGGAATTTAGTCCTGACTTGCATGGAATAAAACATTAATAATACATTTATTTTCTTTAGTTAAAATATCCAAATACCTTCTTCAAAAATAAATCTACTAGTATATCCTCTACTCCAAATTTGGTATCTTCTTATTACATAAAGAAAGAAATAAGAATAAATCAAGATATTAGAAATGCTCATTAAAGCTGATTCTGGTGACATTATACTGAGGGAACATGCTATTCTCTTAACTTGGAATTTGACAATCCTGGCAAAACATAGCTCAACAACTAGGAAGTATTGGTAGATTTACTCATTCTCCATACAAGCATCATATCCATGAAATGCTGAACACATTAAAGGATTTGTGTGATCCTATTCAATGGGTTTCCACTAGAAAATTTTCTACAACTCATATTTCAGATAAATAACTTATTTGTTATTTAATCTTCAAAAGGCTCCTAGAAGTCAATAAGGAGAAGACCAAGATCCAAACAGAAAAATGGGTAGAGATACGAACAGCTAATTCACAGAAAAAAAAATGCAAAATGTTCAAGTTCACTTAGAGTGGTAGAAGTTGGTTAGTGTGTAGCATGTTGGTTAGAGTGTAGTGTGTTGACCTGAGACACCAAGGTTGAGTGTTCAATCTCCGATCAGGGCACACACAAGAACAACCAACGAATGCATCAATAAATGGAACACGAAATCAATGTCTTTCTCCCCCCTCCCCCTCTCTCTCTCTGAAATCAATCAGTAAATTGTTTGTTTCTAAAGAAATGCAAATTAAATAAAAAATACTATTCTTCACTTATATTCTCAAGGACCGGAAAGTTTAATAACATGCTAATGAGGACACTAAGAAGCAATCACACACTGCTGTTGGGGCAAAACTGGCACAGCCTTTGTCAAGGGCAACCCCTGGATAGCTATCTAAATAAAAAATGCAAACATCCTTTGACTCAAAAATTCTAGTTCTAGAAGTTATTAGGCCTGTACATATTCAAAGTAACGTAAGTGTAAAAATATTCACTGCAATGTTGTTTAGAATAACAAAATGTTGTAAGCAATTTAAATACTCATCAGTAGAGGACCGATACAGGAAATATACTGTATCATACAAGGAGAAACTTCATAGCTGTTTCAAAGAGTAAGGCACCTCTATACATACATCTAAAACATATTAAGTGGAAAAAAGCAAGGTGTAGAAAAGTAAGTATTCAGTTAATTACAAGGAAGACTAATTGCATGTATGCGTGTGAATGCACACACTATCTCAGGAAGCATAAACAAGCCAGGGGCAGCAGTGGTTGCCTCTTTGGATCTGCCTAACACAGGGGAGGAAGGCAGACTTACTTTCAACAATATCACTTTATCGTTTGTTTGTTTTTTACCTATTTGAATTTATACTATGATAAATACACATTACTATTCAAAAATACATGAATAATTTAAAACTTTTTTTTAATCTAATTTAAGGCTAGGTCTCTCTCTCTCTTTCTCTCTCTCTTTTATTTATCCTCAACCAAGGATATTTTTTTTTTCCATTGAGTTTTAGAGAGAGTAGAAGGAAGAGAGAGAGAGAGAGAGAGAGAGAGAGAGAGAAATGGAGGAGACACATTGTCTATGGCAAGAGCCTCAACCTGGGTTGGGGACCTAACCTGCAACCCTTTCATGCACAGGCAGACACTCTAACCACGGAGAACACTGGTCAGAGGGAAGGCTGGGTATCTCTAAAGTGTATGGTAACTACCTCTTTTCTCCTTTATATTATTTATGCTGAACATGTCTAAAAAGTCAGAATGGATATGAGGAATATTAAAGAATATGTTAATTCAAGAAGATCACTACCTTGCTATGTAATTGTAATGTTGGCTCTTAAACTTTCTTAAAAGAATGTTTACTATTAATCCTGTTTCCCCCCACATTTTAATTGCTATTCTTCAACTTACTTTCATTAAAAAAAAAAAAAAAGTCAAAAGTAATTTTAAATTATTTTCATGCTTTCCCTATATGCAAAGACATTTAAAAGGAAGTGAAGGAAGAAAAAGAAGAAAGAAGCTCAGCGTATTAGAAGCTTAGGAAAGGGGGGAAATTCCAGTAAGGTTTAAAGAAGGGAATCACGGAAAAGGTGTTCCTCAGCAGAACGTTTTTGCAAGGAAAATTTCCAAATTCCACGAAATTCTCTTTCGTTTTCTACAAAACTTATTTCTTTTACGGCTCCATTCTCCACATACACACACACCCCTTCCTCTCCAATGAAAAGAGAAAAGGAGAAATGAGGAAGTCAGGAGTAAACTGTGCCATCAGGGGGAGGCAGCTGAATAAGTTACTAGAGAGAAAAAGCTAACAAGAAGAGTGGGGGAAGGTGCAAGTAATGAGAATGAAAAATAAAACAACAATAAAAACATAAGAAGAGACACAGACCTGGAAGCTCTATGCCCACCAGGCTTGCTACATCCAGCTGAGTTCACAGGAGAGGACTCAGCTTAGGCTCCGCCGCGCTGCCTACACATTCTGGGGGCGGGGCTTGGAGGACTGAAGCAGAGGCCTGATTTTTCTAGGAAAGAAAAATGTTGAAGGACCATCAGTGAACATCTGAAGACTCCTAATAGTTTTATTGAAATGTGAGCGGTTTTCTAGATGGAAGAGGAACCCCGCAATATAAATCCTGTGCAACAACTTTAAAATCAACTGTAAAGTATTAAGATTAAAATAGAACATGTACAGTGATAATTCACTAAATGCAACTAAAGGCTAATTGGCTATATATAAGCCAAACCTGGAAATTATATTGTACCATCTATAAATAATATTACCCTAGCTGTAAATTATATTACTACCGGGCGTCATCTACATGGTGGTCAACAATGGTGACAATAGAACCAGAGTGCCTGGATTCAAATCCCAGTTCAGGCACTTTCTAGTTCGAATTAACATTTATATTGCTAGCAATGAAATTTCCTCCAATGCTAACTGTGGAGGAAAAAATGATAGGGTTTAAATCCAGACAAAATAGGTTTTTAATAATGGGAATTGTAATCCCCCCATAGATGTAAAGTTTTGCCTCATTCTTTCCTTGCAAAAATGTAATTTTTGTCTTTCCCCCTTTGGGGGAAGAAAGCTGACTAAAGAAACAACTGCTGAGTTTGCAGGGCCTTTGGAGTACTTCCAACTACATGCTTCATTGCTACGCAGTTAAACATTCAAACTACTGTCTCCTTCCTCCAAAGACCCAAGGGGGTTAGGACGGAACTTCGTTTCTGCAGATTACCCAGTCCTTACTCAGAAATCCTCTGCGGGGCAGCCTTGGTGTGGCCTCTTAAGTCTCCAGTCTGAGTTTCGCCCCTCCAAACCCCCCTCCCTCCGTCCCCCACCTCCCCCAAACCACAGAACCCCAAATCCTTTCCAAACCACCTCTTTCCCCCTTTGGGGAGCAGGTTCTCCCAATCCAGAAGTCTAGGTAGCAAAGATCCTGGGGAATTGAAAACATCTACTTAATGACCTACCTAGGGTTACATTTTGGGGGGTTTCTTTAAAAAAAAAAAAAATACCAGTTGGGTCCCCCACACCCGAAGACACAGGCCCGCCAGCTTTCCCGCCACCGCTCCGCCGGCTCAGCTGGTTGTCATCCGCCTTCCCGCAGCCCCGCCCCCAGCTGGACACGTAGCCAATGGCGTGCGGGAACGCTAGGCAGCGTGATGACGTCGGCGCTGACGCCGCGTGAGGACGCACGCGGCATCCCCGTCTCCTAGGAGCGGTCCAGGGCACCGGTTTCAAAGTCGCAGGGCGGGCCGCCTGGACTTCCGGGCCCCGGCCGGGCCGTCCGTCCCGAAGCCGCCGCTCGCTCCGCGGAGGACGCCGCCCCCGGGCTGCCCGCCGGCTCCCTCCGCGCTCCGCTAGGTGGCCCGACGCGACCGGAGCGACCGGTCGGACGCCCGTCTCCACCCGCGCCCCGTCCCGCCCGGCTGAGATTTGGGTGCACCTGGGGCAGAATGCACTCGGCGCGCCCCCGGCAAACCTGAAACCTGAGGTCTCCTTCCCGGGCGAGGAGGGGGGTGCTGACAACTGCACTGAACAGCGTCCGGAGCGGCGCCCCAGGTTTGCCTTCCCGCCCACTGGGAGCCCCGTGTCCTGTTGAGGAATCGAGTGAAGGTGGTGAATGCTCCAAGCTCACGTCTCACCCGAATGGCCAAGGAAACCGACCCACTGAGGGAGAAAAGTAAGCTCCTTCTTCCTTTCCTGAGAATTCTTAGCCTTAGTCATCGTGGACCAACTAATATATATATATTTGGAATGTCTCTTGGGTGCGTGCAAATGTGTGGAAGCTTACAGAAGTCCGCTGCAGAAAAGCCTAGTGGGATTATAGGAGGATGTGTGTATACATGCTAGAGCAGGACCGCGGGGTGAATACTTGCAGGTCCCTTGGCTCCCCCGGGGCTCTGCTAAGACACCAAACATGTTTGTTATGCTTCTCACAGGCTCTGGGACCTGAGAGGGCAGCCGCCGGGCAGGGTTTCTCAGTCCGCAGTTAGACCCTGGAGGCACAGCTCTGGCCATGTGGCCATTTATAGAAGTCCTCCTTTTTCAGGGATGTGCCAGAGCCATATAAGCATAGCTGCCACCATGTGAAGAGGACAATCCTACCCTCCAGGAATTTAAATCAAGGAGGGAAATAAGTAAATTCCATAAGTACACTGAAGTGCCGGCAACTGCTAGCTCCTTTGCCTCAGTTTCTTCCTAGGTTCTTGGCGTGATGAAAAGAGTATTTAGCTATATAAGGGATTTGGAATTGCATGTGACACATAGTGCTAAACAAATACTAACCGGTATTGTTTAATACTAGTTAATACTAATAATAACAGGCTTATTGTTAACTGTGGTCAAGGAAGGTGCCATTGGGCTGGAATTTGAAGTGCTAATATGAATTTACTAGGCACCCTCCTCAGTATTTGCAACATTGAGGAGGTTAGAAATATGCTTAGTTAACAACTTGCAAGGAGGTTAGCTTGGATGGAATGTGCTTTATCTAGAGAAATGACAAGTGCGGCTGAAAAGGAAGAATGGGGCTAGATGGTCAACTGTCTTGTCTGCTATGTTCAGAAGTTCGGACCATTGCACAGGTTCCAGGAACCACAGGGGGGGAAAAATCTACTGAGAATAACATGATCAAATTGGGATTTTGAAAGCCCAGTGTGGCTGTTATGAGGAGCATGCACAGTGCAGTTAGGTGACTTACCCAGGTAAGAAATGAACTAAGGTCGGTACAATGAGATTGGAGATTAGGGGGTTTGGGAGAAAGAGGTGGAGGGAAACCAGGAAGATAAGGGGGGATGGAGGGAAACAGTAGGCTTCATTTTGGAAGCATTATAGACCAGTGGTGAAGAACTCAGCCCATCTCTGGCATTCTCTACATTGGCTTCTATGGAACTTGATTGCCTCTTCATTTGTTCCATTGGGATTTGAGAGTCTCGCTCAAGACACTGTGATTTGGTACTTTTCATCTGGCAACTCCACATGATAAAACTGTCAACTTTACACACATCATAACCACTGGCAGTTCCACACCCAGTCTGGGTTTTAGTAAACTTTTAGCATATTTGCAGGACACTAGTCTTCCATTTCCATCTGAGAAGGGAGATCTGATAGTTCTTAGGGATCTGTTCAAAGAGGGACCTGTGTATCAAACTAAGAAATGAATTCGTTCTTGTAGTAGTGATTATGGATACTGGGGATGGACTCATTTTTTCCTTTCATTCTCTTAACAGTTTCTTTCACAGAACAGAACTTTCAAAGTGTGGTGAAGTTCAATTCCTCAATTTGATTTTTTATGAATCTGTGCCACATCTAAGAAATCTTTGCCTACACCAAGGGTGCAAAGATTTTCTTCTGTGTTTTTTCTTTTTTTTTTTTTTCTAGAAGTTTTGTAGTTTAAAGTTATACATTTGGATCTATGATCCATTTTGGGTTGAATTTTGTAAGGATTGAGGCTCATTGTTTTGCATATGGATGCCCAATAGAAAGAATATCCTTTCTCCATTAGAGTACCTTTGCCCTTTGTTAAAAATCAGTTGTCTGTATTTATGTAGGTCCATGTCTGGACTTAATTCTGATCCATTAATATGTTTGAAGTTTTATAGTAAGTCTTTAAATCAGATGGTGTGCTCTTTTTCACAGTTGTTTTGGCTATCCTAAGTCCTTTGCATTTCCATATAAATTTTAGAAGCAGCTTGTCAATTTCTACAAAAAACAGATGCTTAGATTTTGATAGGCATTGCATTGAAACTACTGATCAATTTGTGTAGATTATATTGAGTTATCTGATCAATTAAAAGTTATATATCTGCCCTAACTGGTTTGACCCAGTGGAGAGTGTCAGCTTGCAGACCGAAAGGTCCCAAGTTCAATTCCTGTCAAGGGCATGTTGGTTGCGGGCATATCCCCAGAAGTGGGTGTGCAGGAGGCAGCTGATCAATGTTTCTAACTCTCTCTCCCTCTCCCTTCCTTCCTGTAAAAATCAATAAAATATATATTTAAAAAAATTGAAATATTTGAAATAGTTGAAATCCATTGAAATATTGCTTCATTGATTTTTCTCAGAAATACTGGTATTTTAGTATATATTAGTAGGTTTTACATACTTTTTATCAGATATAATGCTGTTTTGATATTGATACTATTTTAAATAGAATTACACTTTTACCTTCATTTTTTTAATTTATCATTGCTACTATAGAGAAGTCTTTATTTTTGCCAATTGTGTTTCTAAACACACTAATTAGTTATAGTAGTTTTATTATTGTAAAGCCCATTAGATTTTCTACATAGATGATCATTTCATCTTATAAATACAGTTTCATTTCTTTCCAATTCTGAGTAGTATTGAAAGAATGAGTATTGTAAATTTATCAGGTGTTGTGTATTACTGTGAATTAAAATATCACCTTGTACTTACTGGACCTCCTTTTTGTCTCCTGCCTAATCTGGATTCTTCATCCTGCAGTTTCTCCTCAATGTGGAAGTTTGTCCTGAAAAAGAATTTCAGCAGATTTTAACAGTTCTAAAGAATATGGCTAAAAGTAGTCTTTTCAACTCCTTTTACTTCTAGTAGCAGGAATTTAAAAAAAAAAAAAAGTGCAGAATATTTTTTTTGAGAAAGCTAGGAGAGAGAAAATTAAAATTTATGAGATCAGAAAAACTGGTTCTTTGCAGCTCTTCTTCATTTTCCTATTGGCAACAGTTGGTTTAGGTGTGTAGAAGGGGCCCTATTCTTAAACTCGAAGTGGTGTGATAAAATTTTTTAAATTATTTTTTCTTTATTGATTAAGGTATTACATATGTGTCCTTTATCACCCCATTGTTTCCCCACCCCCCCACTCTTGCGCGCCCCCCCCTCCCCCGGTGTCTGTGTTGAAAATGATGGTTCATTTTATTTTAAGAAGTAGTGGAGGCTAGCAGTTTTGCATTGGCTATATCAAATAATAATGTCTTTATTTCTAGTTTTTAAAAATTGAACATTATCCTATGAACTACAAATTGTTTGTTGTTGTTTTCTCAGCTCAAAGACTAAACGAAGTACTTAGGCTGTGTCAAATGGAAAATGTTTCCAAATATTCAACAGTGCAGGTATGTAAATGAAGGTCTAACAAACTGGTTTACTTTGGTTGTAAATATATCTGTATAAATATGAATTGAAATAAATTCTAATTTGGATTATTCTCATGTGAAGTTGCCTACAGCAGTTTGAAATTTTACCTAAAATTTTGATGCCTGTAAGGAGAAAAGCTTGTTTTTGCTTAATGAATGTAAATTCTTTGACCATAGAAACTGCCTTTTTTTTTTTAGAGTTGGAGTTTACATATTATGCATAGTGTTAACATGTTTGAGTTCTGAAATGAGAATTCATTTTTGTTTTGACACATTCTAAAGTTGTTTCTCAATATACAGCCAGTTGTAAACTTTAACTACCAGAGTTTTCATAGATTATGACAGAAGCATAGACTAGCTCAAAGTAGTATATAATGCATGGCATTGTTTTAAATATTTCTTTCCTTGGTTGTATGTTTTTATTTAAATACTAGAGGCCCAGTACATAAAATTTGTGCACAGGGGTTGGGGGAGCGGTTTGTCCCTCAAACCTAGACCTGCACCCTCTCCAGTCTAGGCAGAGATCAGGCCTAAACCGGCAATAGGACATCCCTCTCATATTCTGGGACTGCTGGCTCCTACCCACTTGCCTGCCTGCCTGCCTGCCTGCCTGATTGCCCCTAACTGCTTCTGCCTGCCAGCCTGATCGCCCCCTAACCACTCCCCTGCCAGTCTGGTTGACATCAAACTGCTCCCCTGCTGGCCTGATTGCTCCCAAATGCCCTCCCCTGCAAGCCCGATCACCCACAACTGCCCTCCTCTGTGGGCCTGGTTGCCCATAGCTGCCCTCTCCTGCAGGCCTGGTCGCCCCCAACTGCCCTTCCCTGCCAATGATCTTGTGGCAGCCATCTTGTATCCACATGGAGGCGGCCATCTTATGTGGTGGAGTGATGGTCAATTGCATATTATTCTTTATTAGATAGGATGCCTGAAGGGGGGATTCAAACAAAAGATTCATTTTAAATCCTGAGAAGGCTTCTGGGCAATGTGTTGTATCATACCAGTATCTCCTGAATCTATGGCTAATTTGATTATGAAAGATGATTTTACCAGATAAAATAGTCAGCCCATTAGATTACCCACATTATGCATTGTGATTATCATTCCTTAAAGCCTAATGGTAACCAAGTAGGAACACATCTACCCTTACTTAATAGTGTATTCTAAGGTGAAATAATAGCTCCTTGAATTCTCTGAAAGTATACATTCTTCTCTTCCATGTACCATTCTTATAGTTATACAATCATATCTTCATCCCCAGCTCTTATTTTTAATAATAGTATAATGTTACTGATTAAAGTTCCTCCTGAAGCTGACTCTTCAGAACATGTGGTTTCTCAAGGCTCCACTGGTCATTCGTCTTGCCTTTTACTGCACAGATTGCAGTAGTCAGAGGGGAGATAATATTAAACCAAAGAAAGTAAAAGCGGGTTATGAATGGCAAAACATATTTGCAATTTTGGAAAAATTCATGTTAGAATATATAAAGGATCTCTTCAAATCAATATCAGAAAAACAGGCAAAAGACTGGAACATGTACCTCACAATGGCCAATAAATTTATGAAAAGGTGTTCAATTTCACTGTCAGATACTTGCAAATTAAAACTGCAGTGAGATACTCCTGCATACCCACTGACTAAAGTGAAAGCCATGAATCCAACTATTGACAAAGATACAGAACAACTCTCTATACAGCCTGTGGGAGTATTAGAACTGAATGATGCATACTCTCAGAATCATCCTATATAATAAAAGCCTAATAGGCAAATAGACCGAATGGCAGAATGACCAGTCTCTATGATGCACACTGACCACCAGGGGGTAGATGCTCAGCACAGGAGCTGCCCACAGGCTCCAGGCCAGCCACAGCGGTTGTTAGCAGAGGGCCTCCTCAATCACCCTGCCAGTCACCCGCAGAGGGAGGCAACTGGCAGCATTGGCAGGAGGCAGGACTGGCAAGCAAGTGTCGCCAGGCCAGCCATGGCAGGTGTCAGTGGGGGGCCCCTGATCACCCCGCCGGTCACCCCACAGATAGCCCTGATTGCAGGCCAGGCCTAGGGACTCTACCTGTGCACGAATTTCGTGCACCAGGCCTCTAGTATACCCATAAGAAAAGACCTTTATAAGATAGTTCATTTAACAGTAGAGAGCATACTTACATTAATATAAGGCATTGTTTCTAGTTTTATTATGAAGAATAATAATTGATGTAGGTTTCTGGTCAATATATTTTTTTAATAATTTGAGAAAGTTATTCCTGTTTTTTCGTATGCCAAGATTTTTATTATGTATAGGTGTTAAAATTTACCAAATCTAAAGATGATTTTTTCCTTTCTCTTTTTTTTAATTGCATGAATAGAGTTTCTACAGTTATAAAATTTTTAATTGTATTTAATTTTATACTACTGTCAGTTTTGGCTAGAATGATCTGAGAAAACATTTTAAGAATCAGTATTCTCTCTTATAGAAAGCTGCTTTCAAAGGAGAGGGAGGTGACATAGTAGGAAACTTAGTAGTTGACCAAAGGTAAGGCTGAGTTACCAGAAAAATGTTATTTTCTTAATTATATTTAATTATTATCAAAATAATTCCCATAGAATTAGGAATGTTTATTTTGTAATCTGCTATACAGTAATCAAATCTGAGTTATGTCATTGAATTGAAAAGGAGAAAGAAAAAAAAAAGCCAGTATCTTAGTCTGTACGAGTGGTTCTCAACTGGGGTGCTTTTGCTTCTGTCCCCTCCCCCGATATTTGACAATGACTTGAAACATTTTTGCTTGTCACAGCTATGGAGGGTGAGGGTGTTACTGTTATCTGTTGGGTGAAAGCCAGGGAGGCACTAAATGTCTAGGAGTGCTCAGGTCATCTCCCACAACAAATAATTATTCAGCACAGAATATTAATTTAGCTAAGGGTAAGAACTCCTGATTTGGGGAAAAGGCAAGTTTTGATTGCTATGGGGAAAATGATATTAAGAATAGTAAAGGTCTTAGATGTACAATTTATTTCACAAGTTACATATCTATTAAATCAGATTAAACAGAGTATGCCTTTTTTGGTATTTTTTCTTTAGCTTTTCAGCACCTCTTATTATTGAGTATGATAAACATCTGGAAGAGCTAAATGGGCAGCTGAAACACTATCAGGTATGACATCATAGTTATCAAGCTTTTTGTAATATTTTATTATAAGAAAAGAAAAAGTAAAATAAGACTCCCTTTTTAAAAAAATTGATAAAGAAGAAAATATTTAGCTGTGTGTTTGTGTGTGTGTGTGTGTGTGTGTGTGTGTGTGTGTGTGTGTAAGTGTAAATTATCTTTGGCCTATTATTTAATCCAATGTTTCCTTGCTCCTGCTCCCTGGCAGGAGCATCTCTTAGATGTGTAGAAACAGCCATTAATCCATTATTTGCTTACATCTTTATTTTGCCCCTAGAAATACCTAAAACCATTACATCTTTTTAGACCTTTCTCTTAATCCATATTTCCCATTATATGGTTTCTGAATTTTCTCCCCAATTTCAAATATTATGTCTATCAAATTTTAAATGCAATTGACCCACTTCTAATGTGGAACTAAACTGTGGCAAGTTTTTTCTAAAATTTCTTAGTAATTAGGGTTTATTTAGGATCGAAGGGGAGTGAAGAAACCAAGGAAGCTATTCATACCAACATATTATCATGGGTCTCAGCATTTTTAAGATTAGGGCATATAGCAGGTTCATGGAGAACTAGAAGTATAGCACATCATTATTTGGGATACTATCTGAATTTTAGTTAGCTACAGTTTTAGAGTATACATAGTATTTGTCATCTCTTTCTTTTATTTGAATTTTTTTTTTTCATTTTCCTCACAAATTTTGACCTTTCTGATAGTTGGCTAACCACACAGTAGAAGCATTTTTTAAGTAGATGCTGTATGTTCCAGTGAAGCCCACGAAGAAGTGAACGCCTTAGAGGGTTGATATACTCATATTTTTGTGTGGCTCAAATCCCTAAGTCAATTTAGTTGTGACAGGGTAGCAGGGTTCCCTTAATGTAATGCAAAAAGAAGAAAATATGCCTGTGGTCATTTAAGTTTTGAGCCAACCATAGTAATGTCTTTTAATCTTTCTAATTGACAGTAGCAACAGAAAGCCCTTTTGCACAAATGGCATTTTGCTTTTATTCTTAGGACCATGTGCTTCTGCTGGATTCCCTCTTTTGGAATTGCTGTAATGACATATAGTTTCAATTATTATAAAATGGAATAGCTTGTTATCTTGAAATTAAACTGTTTAAAATTTAAAATTTTCATAATGTATCTGATTTATGTATCTCTTTAATCAGCTCTTTTACGAAGGTGTTTAACTTTATTTTTCCATTTGGCATTCTCCATCTGAGAGTGATTACTGAACTAATGACAAGAGAGAAGCTGAAAGCCCACGGGTCTGTGATAAGAATAGTTGCTACTTCTAGATAGATAAAAAGATGCTGATAGCTACTTCTGAGAACAGTTGCTCACATAGATATTATTGATTAGAACTAGTACTTATTTATCTTATTGACACAGTCAAAAATAGTATATCTTGAAAGCAAGAGAAGTATCACTATAGTTTTCTATATGAAACCACCCTAGCCAGTTTGACTCAGTGGATAGAGTGTCGCCCTGCGGACTGAAGTGTCCTGGGTTTGATTCCTGGTCAGGAGCACTTACCTGGGTTTCAGGCTTGATCCCCAGTGGGGGACATGCAAGAGGCAGCCGATCAATGATCCTCTCTCATCATTGGTGTTTCTATCTCTCCCTCTTTCTTCCTCTCTGAGATCAATAAAATCACATTAAAAAATAAAATAAAATCACAAAAAAAAAAAAGATTTTCTTCCAGAAAATGTAAATAATAGGGGGAAATTTGATGATATGAGATTTAGTTTCCTTTCAACCTCTAAGTAATTTGAAATATTTTACACTAAAAAATTTTAGTGTGGCTGTAATCCTAGCTAATACAGTCACTCAGCTTCCACATAATTGGAATTGTTTGAGAAATAAATACTTTTCAAGATATTCTGACATGGTTGCAACTTTTAAAGATCTATTTTTTTTAATTACAAAGTGGGAATAATTCCTACACTAAATAAAATCTAGACCTCCTAGATAATGTGACATTCAAAACCTGCCACCTGTCTTTTTAATTTTCTCTCTCACTGCCATTGTTCCATGTATGGTCAGTTCTCAATTATCTGGTAGTAAATTTCTTCCTTTTGGTTTAATTGTGATTCAGGCACAGCAGGGAGCTGGGAAAGGTTCACTTTTTGAGCCAGCTTTGTAGGTAGAATTAACTGGGACTGACTTTCTGGGCCAAGCTGCCTTCAGCTTCTTTGGCAGGAAGTGGAGAGAAAGGCTGGGGCATCACCTCTCCCACCTTCCCTTGCCAGATTCCTCCAGGCTGCCTCCTCTCCTTTAGGCTAGGTGCCCAATCAAGACAATTGGGCAGATCAGGAGTTGGTTGCAGTTTTGTTTTAACTGTGATTTTACATGGCCTTCTTCCTGTTCTTCACTTCCCATTCACTCCCAGTGGGTTAGATATTTTTTTGCTTCTTTGCTGTTACTTACATTTCTCCCTACTTGAAAAGCCCTTTCCTTCCCATTGAACTTCTGTTATCCTTTTATCCCCTCAGAGAAAATTTAACCCTAGCTTTATCTCATTCCCTTTACGGTCTATATTTTATTTTTTGTATTTTAGTCATTTTTTAACCCTCTTCCCTACTAAAGTATATGTTAGTGACTACATTGGTTTACATAGCAGACTTGCGTAGTGCAGAGTTTAGACAGTTAATAAAAGTAGTGAATCGGAGCCTGAATGAAATAATGCTAAAGAAGATCTTCACATATTTTCTTTTTTACCATTAACATTTTACTTTTGAAATACAAGCACTTACATGGGCTTCACTTAAACTAAGATGAATTAATTAAAATATGTATTCACGGTATAGGGAGCATCTGATATTTGTTATAGTGACATAATGGGGAATATCATATCTGTTTTTCTATAAACATCTACAAATCATAGGAATTACATTTATAATTTTCTTAATGTATTTGTAAAATACTTTTATGTATATGCTATTCAAAATGAATGTTTCCTCAGATTTGTATATTATTAAAATATTCAGATTTAAGATTACTTGTTAGAAGTAAAGAATACTTATTTCTTTTTGGAAGACTGGTGTGATACAATATGATTGCTTGCATATGAATGGAGACTTCATAGAGATCTAATTGTTTGGGAAATGTATGACTACAACTATATTTTATTCTTTCAGAAACAAGTGGGTGAGATGAAACTGCAACTTGAAAGTGTCATCAAGGAAAATGAAAGGTATATCAATTACTATTGTTTCTTTATTATTGTCTTAGATTAAATTTTTTTGTTATTTAATATTTTATTTATGTGGTATACTGGTTATGAATGTGGTCTCTTGGGCCTGATTTCTTATTTAATTCCTAGCTCTATTACTAACTATGTGACCTTGGATAAGTTACTTAATCTCTTTGTACTGTAGTTTTCTTTTTGTCTACAAAGTACATGAAATATGGTACATAATGAGCACCATATAATGTTATCAATTATTAATAGTATAGCGTATAGTATATGTGTTATAAAATATACTGATAAAACAAAAACTGGTCAAGCACTCATCCAACTTAAGAGCTACTGTGTTCCCAAACTGATACATCTATCCATGTGTTCCTTCTCTATCCCATCCTTCCCTTCTGTAAGAGGTTAACACTATCTTGAATTTTGTATTTGTCATTTTTTTTAAAGTTTTTTTTATAGGTATATGTATTTGTAACAATATGTTAATTTTTAGTTTTATTTTATGTGTTTATTGTGAATATTTTCTGCTTATAGTTAATGACTTGATTTGAAGTTTTTCTGATATTATAAAACTTTTTTCTTTTACATTTATATCATTTTAAAGTAAAACACTTAGTCTTATTAATATGTACCTTCCTGTGCTTTCTTTTAGTTGTTTCAAAGTAAGATCTATAATTTAGTTTAATATGAATATTTAATTGAATTTATTGATGAACATTGATTAATAGAATTATATAAGTTTCAGGTATATAAGTCTGTAATACATCATCTGTATATTATATGTTTACTATCCTTCTATCACTATTTATCCTCCCTTTATCTTCTTCTACCTCTCCCCATCCCTCTTCCCTCTGGCAATCACCACACTGTTCTCTGTGTTGAGTTTTTCTTTTCTTTTTTGCTTAATCCCTTTACCCTTCTTACACAGTGCTCCCAACCTCTCCCTCTGACTTTCCCTCCATGAGTTTGTCTTCACTTTGTTAGTTTATTTTGTTCATTAGATTCCACATATAAATGAAATCATAAGGTATATGATTTTCTCTGACTGGCTTATTTCATTTAGCACAATAAATTAAGGTATATGTCTTTCTCTGACTGGCTTATTTCATTTAGCACAATACTCTCTAGGTTGCTTGACTATAATTCTGAAAACCTTAAATTCTACTTCAAATTAAGTTGAAAAAATTGAATTTAAGGTTTTCAGAATTATGATCAAGCTTATGTAAGAAGGTGCTGAAAAATAAAGCCTCAGTATTCTTGATTTTATAACTAGCATTACTTTTATTCTCTGTTTATTAACTGAGATGAGGAGGAGGTCAAATAAGCTTTGTGAAACACAATGAAGAAAACAACAAATAATTCTATAAGATTTCATATCCCATTTCCATTTTATTGACTATATAAAAATACTATCACATTTTAAATATTTTTCTGAATGTCTTGTTTTATCAATTAATAAGGTACAGTAACTGAATTTTACCTTTTTGAAAATTTATAAACGCAAACTGGTTTCACTTGAATTTATTATGACCAATTTAATGCTTTTGAAATTGTAAGATAATTTTCATTCTTATCACACAGTATTTAATGGCGATTAAACACTTCTAATTATTTTGGCCTGCTTAAAAATGATTTTTTATGTAAAGAATGATTTTTTGACCCAAATGTTTGTTTCATTAACCTTAAATATTAATTACTGTTACTAAAATTGATTTATATTATTACCGTGTTAACTGTTTGTTCCAAAGGTTGCACAGTGAATTAAAAGATGCTGTTGTAAAAGAGTTGGAGGCCCTTCCCTTTGGCACAGAGATGGGAAATGATATATATTTAGATGATGAAACAGTCAGGAATCTTCAAGAACAGTTACAACTAGCCAATAAAGTAAGTGACATTTATATATTTTTAAATTATATCCTGAGTAAACCGAGACTTTGTAAAATTCATTGTTAATTGCCTGGGCTGGTGTGGCTCAGAAGTTGAGAATCAACCTATGAACCAGGAGGTCTCAGTTTTATTCCTGGTCAGGACACATGCCCAAGTTGTAGGCTTGATTACCAGTGGCATCGAGCATGTGGGAGGTGGCCAATCAATAATTCTCTTTCATTATGATGTTTCTCCCTTTCCCTTCCTCTTTGAAATCAATAAAAATATACTTTTTAAAATCTATGTTAATCATTATATATTAACTAGAGGCCTGATGCATGAAATTTGTGCAAGGGGCTCAGTCCTCGGAGTCCCAGCTTTATCCAGAAGGTCGTCCGGACAGTTGTTCCACTGTATGGCCATCAGGTCTCATTAGCATATTATGCTTTTATTATTATAGATTTAATTGAATCATAAAGCTTTTAACATGAATTTATCTTATAAAATATTTAACATCAAGGAAATTTTGAAAGAGACAAATCATTAGTTATCTATTTCTGTAAATTTATGTTTTTTATTTTTCTGGGTTTTCTTCTGATACTGTTGTCTTTCATTTTCAAAGATTATAGAATTATATTTTTCTAAAATGATACTTCCACGATTATATTTTTTCTTGTTTTATCCTCATAGAAATTGAACTATATGGGAAGCCATGTTCTATATATCCTGCTTTCTATACTAATTTTTTGTGATTATACCTAAGGGAATTTTATTCTAATTTATAATTTTATATCTGAGGTATCTCATCTCTTGTATGGATTTGAATCCCTATTCTACTTTCTTGCTGTGTTACCTCAGTTTCTTCATTTATATAAGGGGATTAGAAATTCTGTATTACAATTTAGATTTTATGGTTATCTATGAAGAGTCATATTTTTTATTACTTGGAATTGTTTACTAATGAAAGTGATATTGTAGATTAATCAGCTAGCTATATTTACCTTGGTAAGGAGCGTGTATTTTGAGTTTAAAAAGTAATAGGAGGGGAAAAAATGAGGGAGTCATGTTTTTTACTTTGTTCTAGACTAGTGTTATCAGGAAGGACTTATAAATGTTTATGTAAACTAAATATATAGTAGTTTGTAGTTTCAAACTGCTATATTGTAGTTTCAAAAAACAAAATCAAATGAACAAAATAAGATGTCTCTAAAAACATCTCTCTCATAGTAGATTTGTTGTAATAATGTCCAATGCTAGATTTTATAAAACTTGAAACTTACTCTTTTTTAACATTTTTTTTTACTTTCTTTTTAAAACTATACTCTCATTTCGTACCCTTTTCTCCTCCTGTCTTCCCTCTCTTTATCTTTCCATCTACATCCAGCTTGGTCTCCTGTCACAGCTCTGAAGATGGCCCCACTTTTTTTTGCTACATTTGGATTAGTTATTTAGTAGATTATTTGGTGAGGTCCAAGTTTGAGCACTCAAAAAGAGGAAAGCAGATTAGCTATAAATTTCCCTACAAAAGTTTTTTCCAGACTCTGCCATCAACTCGCTGAGGGACTCTATGCCAATGGCCAGAGAGAGCATTAAGAAAACAATGCTCACCACATGCTCCTTTAGTATTTCTCAGTGAGTTTGGTTTCATGACTCCTCATCAGGATGCTTAAGAATTATTGAGGACCTCAAAGATATTTTTGTGTTTGTAGGTTATGTACCTATTAGTATTTATTATATTACAAATTTAAACATGTTTTTGAAAACAAATGGAAGCATGGGACCACATTCCAGTAGCCATCAGTGATGACAGCATCACAAAGCACATCATATAAACTTCAGGAAACTCCACTGTGCACTCATCAGAAGATTAATAAAAAAGGCAAATAGTATGTTTATATTGTTATGAACAGAATTTTTACCTCAAGGACCCCTGAAGCACACTTTGAGAATTGCTATATTGAAAGAATATTGATTTGAGAAGCTTCTTGTTATAAAAGGCCAGGTGAAAATCTACACTAATAAAAGAGTAAGATGCAAAGTGACTGTACCTTCATTATACCCACCAGCCAATCAGGAGCGAGTATGCAAATTATCTTTGATGGGTTAATTTGCATATGCAGGCACTGAGTGCCTGCGGGTGGGGCAGCGTGGGAAGGCAGAAAGGCGACTCTGGCCAGAGTGAAGGCAGTGCTGGCAGCCAGGGAAAGAAAGCTCATTCTGGCACAAATCTTCACGCATCGGGCCTCTGTAGTATAATACAAACATTAAGCTGTATCATTTCCAATATTATTAAAAGAAAAACAAGATTCTCTTCAAAAATCACATTTATAAATATCAATATATCTAACATTTATAAAAAATATTATATCTAGATGTTAGCAATATTTACTATCAACTGGTAAGATGATAGGTAATTCTTTTCTTTTTCTGTATTTTCCCAATTTTCGACATTTATTACTTTTACAATTACAAAAAAAAAGTCTTGTACTTTGCGAGGGGCAATTTTCTTTGTCAGTAATTTCTAACGCTTATCCTCTGTTGAAGAACAAGGAGAGTGGTTTCATCCCTATCTCTGATCTAAGAGCTTTAATTTTGCCTATGAAATCAAAATAAATAGATAAATTTCAAAGAAATTTTCACCTTTTGTTTTATTCTCTAAATTATTAATACATCTTGATATCATCAAAAATATTACAATTATACCATCTTTACATAAGTTCTATTTTTTCTTTATTTTTACTTTCTCACATCATCTATCCCCCTATATCCTCTGCCACCCCACCCACTCCCTTCTCCCCCACAAACATTATACTGTTGTCCATGTTCTTTTAATTTTATGACTTTTATACAAGAATTTATTCTGCAAACGAATATGGTTAATTTGTACTATGCCATAAATAACCTGCTAATAATTTAATGTGTTCTCAAATATTTTTGTTTTATAGGAAAAAAATTATGTTTTGGAACTCTGGCAGAATGTTTCTCAGGAGTTGAATAGAGTGAAGAAACTTTACCTGGAGAATCAGACTGAGGCCCAGATTAAAATAATTGAAGGAAAAAAACAAAAGGTAAAATTGGCTATCATGGTTATCTTATATAGCAATAAAAAAATCACATTCTGGAGAAACTGTTTTGGAGAGGAATACCTAAGTTTGGAGAGGAATCCTTTATGTAACAGTTAATAAATCTTTGATAGTTAAAAAATCTTCTGAGCCGATAATTAAAGCAGTTCCTTCTGTACATTGGCTTTTATGTCATCAGCAGTGAAAGCCATATTTAGTGTTAAGCAGCTATTAGGTTATCTATTATAATAAAAGTGTAATATGTTAATTAGACCAGACAGCCAAACAACCTTCCTCACTTCCTTCTGGACAACCTTCCTGATGACCATGCTATGACATCCACTGTTGCTAGGCCAGCCAAGGCAGGTGTGATGTGATTGTCCGGGGCCCAGCCATTGCCCTATGGTCGCCCTGCAGAAGGAGGCTTGGGCCACTGGCTGGTGGGGCAATCGATCAATCTGGAGGCTCCATGATCACCCCAAAGAGGGAGGCACGGCCCACCAACAAGCAGGCTGCAGCAGGTGGATAGGGCCTCCCTCTGTGGGGACGATCCGTCGTAGAGCCCTGGCCAGGTAGGCAGAGCGATACAATTTTGGGGCGATGCATCTAAAAGCTGGGGCTGGGTGTGTGGGGCCTACCTCTTTGGGGCAATCGATTGTGGGGTTCCCAGACTGTAAGAGGGTACAGGCAAGGTTTAGGGACACCCTCCTCCCTGTGCATGAATTTCTAGTTATGTATAAATGGACTTCTAAAGCTTTTACAGTCTTCATTTCTGCCTCGTTTAAAAGAGACAAACTATTCATTGGATCATGACAAATGAAGAAACCTGCACAACTATAGGGACGACGCTATATAAAATGAAAATTGACACCTTTTTTTATATACGTGTTTTTATTGATTGCTGCAAGAGGAAAGAAGAGGGAGAGAGAGATAGAAATATCAATAATGAGAGAGGATCACGGATCTGCTGCCTCCTACAAGCCCCCCATTAGGGATTGAGCCCACCATATAGTCATGCACTCTGACCAGGTGATCTCCTGGTTCACAGGTCAACACTCAATCACTGAGCCACACGACTGGGTAAAAATTGACACCTAAAATGTGAACTTTTACTAAAATAGATATTAAATTTGTCTAACATAACTTAATCAGAATAGAATTTTACAATAGGAAGGCATTATAATTGTTGCTTAAAGATTTATTTTTTGAAAGTGGACATCTAGCTTTCACTTCATACTTCATGTTGATATAAACTCACTGTCACACAGGACCATCCATTCCATTGGAAAATCTGTCTCTTATCCTTTTTTTTTTTTTTTCTGCTACGTATGTTGACAGCTGTGGAGTGATTCTAGTTCAAGTAGTTTTTCTGTAGAGTTTGATAAGGGAACTGTTGGGAATTTCTACCTAAACAAGTCATAGTAATATTGACATGATGTTTTGCAGTTTACTAAATAACTTATCTATATGGGGTTGAAAATAACCCATGTTGTCTGATCCGTAAGACTAGAGTTCTGTAAACCATTTCTAATATTAAGTTCTCTAAGGTTGTTTAGGTCAGTCAGCCAAGCAATTAGAAGTTTGTTTTGTGTGTTTTTCACCTGAATAAGATTATGTTTGACCTGTAGCTTGCAGTAAATTTTTTTTTTTTACAAAATTTCACAAATAATACTCTGTTCTTATTTTCCCAGTTATCTAACATTCTTTAATTCTGTCTCCAGACATAACAATTACTCCCAACTATTTGTCACCTGCACATGTAATTTTAGTAAGAGCATTACAGATAATCAAATGATTTAAACCTTGTGGCACTCAAGCTATGAGAATTTTTAAAAGTGGGAGTGGGACAGTAACTTCTTTGCCATGTTTTGCACTGTAAGTGCGTATGGGTTTGAATGTGACTTTCCAATATTGGACAGGACTTCTCTAGCATGTCTATTGACTAATGAATTGGTTTCTAGATTATGCTTTCACAAAAAAATAGAAATAGCTACACTACTTTCTATATTGCCACCTTATTTAATTTCAGTGATCATTTATTTAAAAGTTTATCATTTCTTCCTTTATTAATTCACATAATAATAGAAGAAATGCCACTGATTTCATCTAGACTGGACATAATGATTTTAGTTTAATTTTAAATAAGCGTCGCAAACCAAATGCTCTTTATGTACCCCGTGTTTTTTACTATAGAATCAGCTGACCAATTCTCAACAATTGAACAAGAAACTCTATGCTAATACTGAGGACATAGAAATGGTAAGTGATAATACCATTTAGTGTACTTATTTATATAAACTTTAAATTGTCGCCATAAATATTTATTTACGCTAATGTAAATCAACAAGAAACTTGTTACATGACATTAATATAGGTAATCAGTACTCTTTTCTCTTCATCCGTCTTTTTCACATTTTTAATAACATGACAGAGTTCACGGTACTTTCTGGAGATCAAAAGCTAACATCTATCTGAAATATATTTTAATTTGAAAATACTCAGGTTTCTTGGTAGGATCTCCTGAGAGTAACCTAGACTGGGACCTTCTCAAGAAAGGGACTCATGCACTGGTAGGTATGTGATAGGAGGAAGAGAACTATTAAATCAGTGAATAGCCTCATTTCTAAGAACAATTTGTTAGTTGACTGACCACCACAACTAACTGGTACACCTACATTTCCCTGTGATTTTTTTCCCCTAAATAAATATAATCAGCCATCCCACTTCTGTTCTTTACCATTTTTTCCTCTCACTTTCCTTTCCTTTTCTTTAGATTTTTTTTCCTCTTTTTCCTTCCATTTCCTTTTCCTTCTTGGAATTTTATTTTACCTCATTATTGAGTAATAGGATTATGACATCTCAGGTAATTATTCTCCTTTCTTTCTTTGTTTTACTTAGTTACTCTGCTATTTTTATTAGTACCTAATGAAAATGTCTTTGTTTAAGTGCAGAATTTTGTCATCAAAAGTAAGTTACCTAACTTTATCCCTTATTTTTAAATTTTCTCTTAATCCTGTAAAAATATTAAATCAGTTTCTCCTGTTTTACTTATATTAACATTTAGAATTTCCAGCCACTTATAGTTTTTATAATAACTATAAAAACTGGTCACCCCTAACTGCCCTCCCCTGCAGGCCTGGTCCTCACAGCTGCCCTTCCCTGTAGGCCTCGTCCCCACAACTGTCCTTCCCTGCTGGCCATCTTGTGGTGGCCATTTATGTATTGGAGTGATGGTCAATTTGCATATTACCTCTTTATTATATAGGATGACTGTAGCTAGAGTAAGAGTTTATATTTCCTACAGATTCTCTTTTCTGAAATCATATTCTTTTTTGAGATTTCCTTAGCTTGACAAATTATTCAAAAATATTTGTTAATTACCTACTAAGTTCCTTGCACTGTTATAGATGTTCTAGTTTCAAGAGGAAGTGCATCTATCTGCAGACCCCTAGTCTACTTAGTAAAACAGGAAAGACACCTGACCAGTGTGGTTCAGTGGTTGAGCATTGACCTATGCACCAGGAGGTCACAGGTTCTATTCCCAGTCAGGGCACACGCCCAGGTTGCGGGCTTGATGCCCAGTACAAGGAATGCGGGAGGTAGGCAATCCATGTTTCTCTCTCATCAATGTTTCTGTCTATTCCTCTTCCCTCCTCTCTCTCTAAAATCAAGAAAAACATTTAAAAAAAAAAAAAAAAAGGGAAAGAAGAAATAATTAGTGAGTAAAGTGCTGAAATAGATAACTGAGAAGGATGCTTCCTTAGACCTTTATGAATCTCCACATTCTATGAATCTTCCACATTTGTATCTGCTCACAAATGCCTAACTAGGCCAAAACAGATGCAATTGTTGAGTTTCTGCTAGGATTGCTACTAAGTTAAGTGTGTTAGTTAGCAACACTAGCTTCTTATAATTCACGATTCCAATGTATATTTCTACTAATTATTCTACATCATTTATCTTTAAGATACTCTCAAATAATAAAAAAAACAAGCATTTTTTATGCTAGTGTGAAGATAGTATATATAATAAAAAATCTATAGTAATAAAAGTATAATATGCTAATTAGACCCGACGGAGCCTGGGCTGCGAGGGAAGCCCGGGTTCCAGGTGCCAGAGGGAGCCGGTGCCACCAGCCTGGGAAGGAAGGCTACTCTTACAGGAATTTCATGCATCGGGTCCCTAGTTAATGGTATAATACAGATAGTATAGAGGAATTCAGAGAAGTGAATCAGTTTGGGCTGAAGTTGTTAAAAGAGCTTCACAGGAGAATTTGAAATTATATTAAAGGTCATCTACTTCCCTAAATGAAATAGAGATCCTTCTATTAAATGCTTTTCAGTTAGATGGTAATTTAGCCTGTTTTGAATATCCCCTGTAAGAGATATTATACTTCCCCTAGCAGCCTTTTCCTTTCAACTCTGATTACTGGAAAGCTAGAAATCTCTCATCAGATTTCTTCCCACTTGTGCCCAGTTTTATCTTTTGGAGGAATATAGGAAGCTCACTTCTTCAAGTCCGCCCTTCAGTTATTTGCATATAATCATATGTCTTTCTTGACTCATTTCCATTGTTACACCCAGGTTTTATTGCTATTTTTTTGTTGCTGCTGTAATATTTTTGGCTGTGGTATAATTTGCCTCCTTATTTCTAGTTCTTTCTCTGTATGTGATACTTAGTCTCTTAAATTGTTGTCTGTTAATTGAATACTAAATTCTAGTCTGCAGTCGTCTACTTCTCAACATAAAGATAAATATGCCTTCTTTCAGGTCTCATAAAGACATTCATTCATTCAATCCTCAAAGTTATAAGTACTTAGAATGTGCTAAATCAGGTACATATCCTAAGTGACACTGTGAGTTCTGGAAGAAGCTAGTCCTAACAAAAAAAAAAAAAAAAAAAAAAAAAAAAAGGCTCATATTGTAGCCAGAAATACATAAACTTTAAATATAATGCAATATATATTATAAAAGTACATATAAAATTTTACCAAAATGCAAAAAGGAAACAGTTAATTCTGCCTTACATTGAGCGGATGACATGGAATGTAGAGAGATGAATGCTGGCAGAAGGAGGACATCCCAGGCAGAGGGAAATACAATGGTGTATTAACAATATGAAGTCAATACCATTGTATTAAGTAGAGTATTAGAGAAGCACAATGAAAATTGCTTCTGGAACTTTTGCTGGAGAAATGTATGTATGATCCGTTGAGAAGGAAGAGACTGAAATCACGACTATCAGTAACTGTCATCCATATGGCTCTGCATCTAAGGCATATAGAGAGAAATAAGGAATTTGTACCACCATTGTAAAAGCAGCACTTACAGGAGAAAATCAGTTTCCTTAGAAAAAAATTTCTACACATGGAAAAGTGCTTCATATCTTACTTTAGTTTCCTTCACAAGTAGGCCCTAAGGAAAGGGTTTCAAAGCATGTAGTTTATTTAGAGATTACAGGCCTGATGCACGAAATTCCTGCAAGGGGCTTGGCCCCTGCCCCCACCCGCTGCATTATCTGGAAGGTCACCTGGAAAGATATCTAGTCTATTTAGCATATTACCCTTTTAGTATTATAGATAATACAGGGAGCACCAGTAAGGGAGTGGAGAAGTGAGACTAGGAAGGGAAGAGAGACAGCCAGTAAGGGTTTTCAACAGCCAAGTGAATTAACATTGTGGGTAACTGAAACTTAATTCTGCTCATGAACTGTGGAAGCCGGCATAGACTCAGTTATTCTGCCATGGGACACAGGAGTTCGGGGTGTTTTCATATCAGTTCCCTTTATTCGTTGTTATCAGGTTCTTCTAGAGCAGTGGGGGCATGAATTCTACAACACCCACAGCCTTTGCATAGTTAGGTGAGCAGAGGAGGCTCAGGTGGCCAGAGAAAGCCAGAAGGCAGAAATGCACAGGCAGGTAGTTGAAGGGAATTAGGTGACACTGAAATAGTAAAGGCAAGAAAAAAATGGCCAGGGTTCTGTTTTACCCTCAAAACATCTAATTATTGTCATTATTTCATTTTATTTTTCTACTTATATGCCCTAGAGTTAATCTTTAAAAGAGGAAGGGTTCTTGTTTTTTTCCTTGGTAGGCACTCCTTATTTTTCTCCTTACCTTTTAAAAATTATTTTATTGTTGAGAATATTACAGATCCCCTCCTTTTTTTCTCTCTCTCTTTGCCCCACCACCCTATTGGCTGTATTCATGGGCGATGCATATAATTTTTTTGGTTAATTTCTTCTCGCTCACACCCTGCCTCTCTTTTCTTTGAGATTCTTCAGTCTCTTCCATGTTTCCATGCCTCTGGTTTTATTTTATTCACAAGTTTATTGTGTTCATTAGATTCCATATATAAGTGAGATCATGTGATATTTCTTTGATTGATATATTTCACTTAGCACAATCATTTCCACATCCCTCCAAACTACTTCAAATGATAATAGATCCTTTTTTATATCTGCATAATATTCCATTGGTATCATAGCTTTTTTATCCACTAATCTACTGATAAGCACTAGGCTGTTTCCAGAGCTTAACTACTGTAAATAACATTGCTGTGAACATAAGTATGCATATATTCTTTTTTATTTTAATATCTTTATTGATTCAGGTATCACATATGTCCCTACCCCCCATTGATCTATATGCCTGTTCTTGTGCCAGAACCAAACTGTTTTTATTATAGTGGCTTTGTAATATAATTGATATCCAATATTGTGATTCCTCCAACTATGTTCTTCTTTCTTTAGATAGCTCCTGCTATTCAAGGATCTTATTTAATTCCACATAAATTTTGGAGTATTTGTTCCAGATCTGTGAAATATATTAGTATTTTTTAAAAATATATTTTATTGATTTTACACAGAAAGGAATTGAGAGGGACAGAGAGTTAGAAATGTCAATGAGAGAGAAACATCGACCAGCTGCCTCCTGCACACCCCCCACTGGGGATGTGCCCGCAACCAAGGTACATGCCCTTGACCGGAATCGAACCCTGGACCTTTCAGTCCTCAGGCCGACACTCTATGCACTGAGCCAAACCGGTCCCGGCTAACATTAGTATTTTAATAGAGATTTCATAGAATCTATAGATTGCTTTGGGTAGTATGCTCATTTTAATGATGTTAATTCTATCAAACTCCTAAACATGATATATTCTTCCAATTGTTTATATCTTCTCATCTCTTTTTTCAACATCCTGTAGTTTTCCAAGTATAGTTCTTTTACATCCTTGGTTAAGTTTATTCCTAAGTATCTTAACCTTTTTGTTGCATTAGTAAATGGGATTGTTGATGATATATATATTTTTAGTTTCTCTTTCTGAGAGTTCATTCTTGATGTATAAAATTTTCATTGGTTTCTGGGAATTAAAGAAGTAGTTTTAAATGTTCTGATACTGAATATTCTTTTTTTTTTTATGGTAGGGTAACCAACACTTGCTGAAAACAATAACTGAACAAAGTGTGGAAATCGAGCAACTCCGAAAACAACTTAGGTATTTTAAAAATTAATTTTGTTATTTTAGTATTACTAATTGTTTTTCTTCAGAGGAACTTGTGATGCTATAATTTTTCCCATCAGTTTTTTTTCCCCCTTCCCTTTTATGTTCCTGTCACTAGCTATTTGTGTGGTCTGTTCTATGCTATAGACATTTACAAATATCTTTAAATTTTAGTGTATATCGAAAAGAGATGAACCTACAATTGGGCCCAGAGTCTTAAGGATAAGGAGAAGGAATCAACAAAAGAGGCTGAGAAGAGATCAATGAGATAGGGGACACAAGGAAGTATATCCTGGAGGTTAAGTGAAGGACGTATATTAAGGAGGAAGAAATGATTGCTGAGTGAAGTGCAGTCAGTGCTAGGATGAGTTCATTGACTTCAGCAACATAGAGGTTGTATTAGCTTCCCACCTGCCATCACAAATGATAATTGGTGGCTTGAAACAACAACAAATTTATTCCTTATAGTTCTGGAGGCTAGATGTTTGAAATCAAGGGGTTAGTCGGGCCGTGCTCCCTTGAGGCTTTGGGGGAGAATCTTTCCTTGCCTCTGCAGCTGCTGGTAGCCTGAGGTACTTCTTGGCTTGGCTCCTGGCAGCATAACTCTCATCTCTCACCTTCATCTTCACTTTGCTTTGTTTTCTGTCTCTCTGTGTACTCTCTCCTCTTTCATAAGCATAAAAGTCTTAGGATTTAGAGCCCATTCTAATCTAGGATAATCCATCTTGAGATCCTTACTTTAGTTGCTTCTACAAAGTCTTTATTCCCAAATAAAGTTTCTGGTAGGGGGTATAGTCACTATTCAATCCACTGCAGGGGTCATTGTAGTTTTATTATAACAAGAGTACTTCAGATTCTACTCTTTTTTCATATTCACACAAACCATTAAAAAACATAGAACTCATTCGGGATGGTAAGAAGGCATAGCAATCAGGAAAACACATGTTGAAGTATTGTGATACTTCTTCACACCCAGTTATAAATGTCAGAAATATAATGTGGAATGTAATAACAAGTGCAAAAGGAGCTTAAAGAATGATGCAATTTATATACATTTTAAATGTTTTAAATAATAGTGTGTGTTGATTTTATATATATATATATATATTGTTATATATATTGTTATATATATAGTTATATATACCTTATATGTTTAGATATATATCTATGTTAACTTATATAGTAAAAGAATAAAATGTCTGTATATAAAAGAATAAAATAAAAACATTTCCTGGAATGACATACCCTAACTTCTAATTAGTGATTATCTCTGTGGAATAAGACTCTTTGTAGAAGTAGGGAATTGGAGGCAACCTAGGTGTCTGTCACCAAGGAAATAGGTAAAATGCAGTAATTGCATCCTGTGGAATGCTATGTATCATTTAGGAACATGTGTTTACAGGTAAAGATGTAGTTACAGCAACATGGATCTATAAAACAGGGTTTGTATGTTAAAAGTAAAAAGATATTATCTATAGCATAAAAACACATGCAAATAGCAATATATAATTTTTATATATTAGAGGCCCAGTGCACAAAATTCATGCATGTGGTGGGGGTGGGAGGGCGAGGATTCCCTCAGCCCAGCCTGCACCCTCTCCAATCTGGGACCCCTCAGGGGATGTCCAGTTCCCAGGCCTAACCCAACAGTCTGACATCCCTCTCACAATCCGGTTTCACTGGCTCCTAAAGCTCACTTGCTGACAGCCTGACTATCCTTAATTGCTCCCATGCTGGCCTAGTCACCCCTGCCGGCCTGGTCACCCCTAATTGTCTCCCAGCCAGCCTGGTCGCCCCATGCAGCCTATTGTTCGGTCGTCCATTCGGTTGCAATGGTCACTTAGGCTTTATATAGATAGGTATATATGTAGATAGATAGATAGATAGATAGATAGATAGATAGATAGATAGATAGATAGATAGATATATCCAAAGTATATTTCACATTTTAATGTGAACCACAAGATAAAGAGAATGAGAAAAGGATTGAGAATGCACAGGTAAACAAAAATTAACAAATGAGAGTAACAGTTCACAGTTAATAATAACAGATCATGGAAAGAATAGTGTGATTAATTTAGCTCTGCACTTAAGGTTCATAAAAGAGTGGAAAAAGAAAGAATATGGTGTATGTAGTATAAAACAAGGTGCAAGGTCCTGGAAGAAAGATGAGTAAGAAAATTGGTTCATAAAGACCTGTGATCATATAATGATAATGGAAATAGAAAACAAAAATGCATATAAATATTTTTGTATAGGGAAAATGAACAGAACTTGGTGATATTGGGATAAAGGGCAGGGGAAATCATGGAATTTTATTGCTAAAGGTAATTTAATGATCATCTTTAACTTTCTACTTTTTAAATGTTTTTGTTAAATTTATTAGGGTGACTGGTTAATAGGATCATACAGGTTTCATGAGTACATGTCTATGATACAAGATCAGTATATTGCTCTGTGTGCCCATCACTCAAAGTCAAACCATTTTCTGTCACCATATATTAACTGTCCACCCCTCCCCCACCTGCCTACTTCCTTCCCTCTGATGACTACCACAGTGCTGTCTGCATCCATGAGTTTCAGTTTTATATGCTGCATATGAGTGAAATTATTTGGTTCTTAGCTTTCTCTGGCTGGCTTATTTCACTTAGCATAGTATCATCAAGGTCCATCCATGTTGTTGCAAATACAAAGAAATAACTTTCTACCTTTTAAAAAAAATGTTTTTTATTGATTTCAGAGAGGGAGAAGGAACAAGAGATAGAAACATCAGTGATGAGAGAGAATCATTGATTGGCTGCCTTCTGCATGTCCCCTATTGGGGAATGAGCCCTCAATCCTGGCATGTACCCTTGACCCTATTTGAACCCAGGACCCTTCAATCTGCAGGCGGATGGTCTATCCACTGAACCAAATCAGCTAGGACTAACTTTCTGTTTCTATAGAAGAAACCAAAATGAACCAAGAGCTCGGAAATCATTTGTCGTCTTCATGCTTGCACAAAAATTCATGAAAAAAGCCAAATTAGAACTCACATGTTGTAATTGCTATTTTAGTGAGTTTCTATACCTGGTTGTCTAACGGTATTCACCAAAGTAAGGTAGTCAATGAGAACTGCTTGTTAAAGAAAGGATGATGAGTGTGGCTACATTATTTTTGACATCTCATTTGGCTTTTGGACATTCAGGCCCAAAGACTATCAATAGAGATTGATAAAGCTAATTGTGGTTTTCTAAAAGGTCTTAACATTTCATTGTCCATGAGCAGTCTTGCCATAATATTTACTGGCAGTATTCCATAGTTTAACATTAAGCAGTTCAGAGTTGTATACATAAAACTAATGCTTGCTTTTCCTGACACAGACTTGAAGGAACAGAAGGATAAGCAGATGCTTCTTTTAAGGAGGAGGGTATTGCTTTCCAGTTTGACAGATTCGGAATGATGGGCATATTGACGTTACCAGAATGTAGGTTTTGAGATGCCCTATATAACCATGCCAAGAATAACTAGATCGGAAACTCTTTAAACACCAGCATTAAGTTTGTACTTATACTGAAAATATACTGGTTTCATTTGTCTGCTGTTATGGTACAAGAAAAAGTAGAATCCTGTGAATTTATAATTAAAGCTTTTCATCATTTTCCTTTTGAGAAATCCTGGTGATGCCCTGTCATAGCAGATGAAACTCTTCAGCTATTTTCCAAAAACCTACTTCCCCTGGTTTTCCCCAGCACTCTAGCTATGTACAAACTGCTCACACCAGTTATCTTACTGTTACTCATGGAACAAAATTTTGGTTTTTTTCCTTTTGCCTTGGTCATTATTCTGTTTGTCAAAAATGTTATAACTTTCTAAGCCTGGTTAAAACTTGCCATCTCCAGGAAGACTTCTCTCATTCATTCTATCAGATTTTTACTGTTCCTGTGGCTCTTCTCATCATTAATTAATTTAAACAAATATTGTGCTATTTCTCTTTAGGTGCTTTTTTGTCATGAATATTTGTTTCTAATGTATGTCACTCTGAGTTATGGACATGGTTGTAATTCAAGTCATGCCTGCTCAGATTTTATATCTTCCTTGTAAAGTCTTTGAAGGAAAGGATTTTCATCTGTGTGTGTGTGTGTGTGTGTGTGTGTGTATTTTTAAATATATTTTATTGATTTTTTTATGGAGAGGAAGGAAGAGAAACAGAGAGCTAGAAACGTCGATGAGAGAGAAACATCGACCAGCTGCCTCTTGCACATCCCCTATTGGGGATGTGCCCGCAACCAATGTACATGCCCTTGACCGGAATCGAACCTGGGACCTTTCAGTCCTCAGACTGAGCCAAACCAGCTTCAGCTTCATCTGTTTATATTTTTCAGGAATAACCAATATTATCTTGGTAAAGGATGTGCTATACAGACTGACTAAAGTATTTGCATAGGGGTCTGTGTTATCCTTGTGGCACCATCAGAATGTTTATTTAAAACTAGAGGCCTGGTGCACGAAAATTTATGTGGTGGTAGGTCCCTCAGCCTGCCCTATGCCCTCTTGTAGTCCAGGAGCCCTGCCAAGGAGGCGGGAGAGGCTCCAGCCATCACTCCTGTGCTCACGGCCATCAGCCAGGAGTGCACTACACCCAGGGGGCAGCTCCATTGAGCGTCTGCCCCCTGGTGGTCAGTGCGCATCATAGCTCATCATTCAGTCATTAGGGTCACTTTGCATATTACCCTTTTATTATATAGGATATTTTAGCCACTAAAGAATGATCTTATTAGCATACATAGATAGTATCTATAATAATAAAAGCATAATATGCTAATTAGACCAGACAGCTGAACGACCTTCCGGATGTCCTTCCAGATGAAGCCAGGGCTGCAAGGGCTGAGGCAAGCTGCCACAGCTGCAAGGGCCAAACCCTTACATAGATTTCATGCATCGGGCCTCTACTCTTCATAGAAAGAATTGTAACTTGCCAATTTATTTTATATTTACTGAAAACTTAAACATAC